CTGTCCAGGCGCTGGGCCTGCCCCTACGCCCTGCGAGCTCCCCCGTCCAGGCGCTGGGCCTGCCCCTACGCCCTGCAAGCTCCTCTGTCCAGGTACTAGGCCTGCTCCTCCGCCCTGTGAGCTCCACTGGCCAGGCGCTGGGCCTGCTCCTCCGCCCTGCGAGCTCCCCTGTCCAGGTACTAGGCCTGCTCCTCCGCCCTGTGAGCTCCACTGCCAAGGCGCTGGGCCTGCTCCTACGCCCTGCGAGCTCCCCTGTCCAGGCGCTGGGCCTGCCCCTACGCCCTGCGAGCTCCCCTGTCCAGGTGCTGGGCCTGCTCCTACGCCCTGTGAGGTCCCCTTGTCCAGGTACTGGGCCTGCTCCTACGACCTGCGAGCTCCCCCGTCCAGGCGCTGGGCCTGCTCCTACGCCCAGCGAGCTCCCCCGTCCAGGCACTGGGCCTGCCCCTACATCCAGAGCTGTTGGGAGGGCTGGATCCTTCTCTAGTGATGAGAGCTGAGAGACAGGCTGTCCTCTTGGAAAAGCACAAGATCCTTCAGCCAAGGGCAAGCTGGCGGTTCTTCAGTCAGAGACACAATCCTAATGGTCCAGTCCCCACAAAAGAAATTTAAAAAAAAATTTCTTTACTTTTTTATTTTTCCTACAAAAGAATTATGACAATCTCATTGTAACTGGAGAAAGAGCTCAGGTACTTTAACATGCTCAGCAAAAAGGAAAAGTTCTAAGAGGTCACAGTTGCACAGCATCCTGCCCAGCAGATGTGAGCTACTGCGCGGGCAGGTTTTCATCTCTACGATCAATGAAGGAGGTCTGCTACTGTTTGTTTCCATGTCACAGGTGGTGGAACCCAAGTTCCAGGAGGCCACGACACTACGGGTGCACACTGTGCTGAAGCTATCGCTCCATGAGAAAATCCAAGCCAGCTCTGTGTGCCATGAATTAGCAAGGCCCAGATCAGGAGTCCTGCTGTGGAAGATGAACCAATACTCAGTGCGACGGGGTCTCCGCAGGCAAGGAGCCCTGGGCCATGGTGACGAGACAGAGCATGATGGAGGTGGGGTGGGATGGAGCCCCGGGGCCAGGGAGACCAAGAGCAGTGCAGAGGAGTGACCGGGCCATCTGGGCAAGTGTTGGTTCGGCTTAGTCACAGTGACTCTTCATATCCCCAGACAGTAAGCCGTAGTCTCACTACCTATGGTCTTGGTGGTCACCTAACGTCTGAGACAATCTGTCTTTACCTGTGAGCTTACAGATACGGACTGCAGCTTAGCTCTACATGCATTTATAATTATGCTAAGTATATCTAAGATGGAAAATGGGCTTCAGTACCTGGCATTTGTTTAAGTAAACTGCAAGTGCACTGCAGATCCAGAACCTATTCTGAGTAATGTTTCCACAAGATGGCTCTGACACAGCTGCTCATTCTCACAGTTATGTGTTACAAGGACAGTCAGCCCCTCTACAGATGACTTTTAAAGGAAAAAGAAGTTCTGTCGCCAGCAGCCTCAGTTGCCGTACCACTTCTATTTCTCCACACGTGGGCAAGAGCTGTCAGGACGGAAGCGAGCGCACATGACACCGCTGAGCCCGCTGGGGAAGCCTTCCTGGACCAGAGCCCCTCATGTTGCTGTGCATGAATGGCGCACACCTGTACACAGTTCTCAAGTATGCCCAGGACACCCTGCTTGGAAATGTTCGGCCATTAGACAAATATAACATGTGCTACTGCACTGGAAACAAGGGAGAGCCCTTCCTGTTGACAAGGTAGATATTCCCAAAGGAGATGGGTTTTTTTTGCGGAACCAGGGATTGAACTCAGGCCCTTGCGCTTGCCAGGGAAGCGCTTATTCCACTGAACCATCTCCCCGGCCCAAGAAATGGGTTTTTGAAGGCTTTAATGATGTGAGAAAATATTCAGAATAAAATGGTAAATGAAAAAACAAAATCTGAGGCTGGTTATATAGCATTCACACAAATCAATGCCAGGGATTTAATTAACATCACTGAATCAGTATCAAAACTGTTTCTGACCATGAAATGTAAATAAATACATCTTTCTAATTTTAAGTGGGAACTGGGAAAAGACAGTAGAATGCCACCCATAAACCAGCATCTGTTTTTAAGCGAGCGTGCACTCAGTGGTAGGATTTACATGATGCTGTAATTATCTGCTGTGTTTCACATTCCCTTCCTTCCTTTGCTAGGCTTAAAATAATTCTACGAGATGAGCAGGCCATCAATTCCAATCTTCTAGTTCCCAAATTTTAATTGGACTGTAAAAACTGCAAAAATGTATTCACTGATTTAATACCATCTACAAGTTTAATTAAGTTGCAACTGTTATTTATTTCTACGTATTCAGTACAGGGTCTACAGGGTCTCACTATGTAGGTCGGGCTTGGAGTGAGTTTCCTATTTTCAGGTTCCCAAGTGCTGGGATTGCAGGTGCGCACCACCACGCCCAGTCTCAATGGCCTTCTCAGTGCGCCCTGGAGGCAGGGCCGACACAGCAAGCCTGGGATCAAATCCTGGCTGCTGAGCTCTGTCTAAGCAGGCGCTTTAGTCCACTGAGCTATCTGGCCAGCCCTGCAACTGTTATTTTACCTCTTCTTCTATTATGTACCATTCAGACCCATCAGTGACCACTCCCAGACAGCGCCTGTCCGTCTTTGGCACCAAGCCCATGCACCAGGGCCGTGCCCCTCACTCCTGCTCATTCTCCCAGGAGGGAGCCGACTGCTGGGATTGGGGCTGCAGACAGGACAGTAGTGACAGAGCTGGGGGAACAGGCTAGGGAGGGCAGGAAGGCTGGGGCACAGGCACCGAGTTACAGCTGAATGACGGAAAGCAACTTCGATGTTCTGTCACAAACTAGGGCAGCTACAGACGAGGCTAAGTGCACCCTGGTGCAGAAAGGCTGCCTCAAAGGGTAGTAAGTGCTTCCACTAGAAAGGGACAATCAGTACGCAAGCAGGTGGTGGGCTTATCCTGAGGTGACATCACACTGCCTACTAAAATGCTGCACAGTACCCAGAGCACAACCTAGGCATCAGGTTTCTGGGTTTTTGAGACAGGGTCTCACTATGTAGCCCAGGCTGGTCTTGAACCCAGTATGCATTCCAGGCTGGCCTCAAACTCATGGTGATCCTCCTGCCTTAGCCTCCTGCTGGGATGACAGGTGTGCACTGCCATTCTTGGCTAGGTGTCATTTTTCTTTTTAAAGTTTCTCATGTAACAGAAGACTTACCATGTATGAGATTAGCTCCCCACACCTGTCTGGGCTACATTAGCTTAAAATGCCATCCTGCTTTAGTATCATTTTAGCAGTGGCCAAGTGTACTCAAGAAAGCAGAAAGAAGAATGGGCGAGAAGCTGGCTCTGCAGGGCGAGCTCAGGCTGCACGACTACGAAGGGGGAGCGCGCAGAACGGAAAGCCCCGGGCGCCTGGGCGATGCAGCGTGGGCAGTGCGCAGGGCTGTGAGTGCCCACCGCCCCACTTTAGAGGCTGGGGGCTGGGCTCATACCTTGAATTTCTGCTCCAGACACTAATGAGCTTCAGCAGAGGAGTGGGTGAGTACTGAGTTTCAGATCCAAGCCGGCAGATCTAAGAGACAAAATGAAACAGAACATGAAATGAAAATGCCTGTTATAAGAGTGACAAAAAACAAGGAAAAAACCCAGCTTGGTGGCCCACATCTATCACCCAACGCTTGGGAGGCTGACACAAGAGGATCGCCATGAGTCCAAGGCCGGCCTGCACTACACAGCGAGACCCTGCTGCAAAACAAAACAAAACACAACCAACAAAAAGAACATATAGAGAAGCCATGCCGAGGGTAAAACAGCCAAGGGACATGATAAATGTGTAAAGGAGACAGGAGAAAATAAAGGATGTACAGAAAAAATGGCGGGGCCAGCACCAGGCAGGGTGAGGCAGCTGCGTCAGCCTTGCAGTCCTGAGTGGTCAGAGCTGAGTGTCCTGGAGCGTCTTCAGCACTCCCTGTGGCTGCAGCAGCAAGTGTCACCACCAGGGAAATCACTCCTGCCAGTTAGGAAGACACCTGTGCTTGCCCTCGAGCTGCTCTGTGAAAACTGTCACCTTTGTCTAAGAGACATGATCAGACTCCCATCCGCCTTCAGGATAGGTAGTCAAAAAAGCAACTTGTTAGATCTGGTGGCAGAGGAAAAGACTAGCGCTCTAAGATCTTCCACAGTAAGCTAAGTGCGGTGACACAGGCCTGGAATCCCAATACACTAGGAGGCTGAGGCAGGAGGATCACAAGTCCCAGCATAACTTTGACAACTTAATGTCTCAAAATAAAAAGTGGGGCGTGGCCTATAGGTAGAGTGGCACAGTCCGTCATAGCCAAGTCCTGGAAGCAGCCCAAATGCCTGTCAACTGGTGAATGGGCAAAGATGTTTTGTTTTGTTTTATAATTATGAGTATGACCTCTGCTATAAAGAAAGATAAACTTGAGACATTTCTAGGACAATGGAGGCACTCTGAAATTATACTCTTTAGTGAAATAAACCAGACACGCACATGTAAATACTGCACTGATCCTCTCAGTGATAACTCATAGTGTAGATAAGGACCAAAATGTGTATTAGGTATTGTGAGAGAGAAGGAAATGTAATAAGGGAAGACGGAGGGGGAAAGGAAGGGAAAGGTAAACAACGAGAAAAGAAAAAATGAGGGCCGGCAACATAGCTCAGCGGACTAAGTGCTTGCTTAGGTAAATGCAGGGCCAGGGTTTGACCCCTGGCACCGCATGCTGTGCTGGCGCCGGCCCCATCCCCGGGCATGCAGAGCTGGCAATGGAGTCCAGGCATGGTCATGCATGCCTGTAATCCCAGCAAAGAAAGAAAAGAAAAATGAGAACTTTTTTTGTAAATGGGGAGGGAAGATGAGTTTGAAGGGAGAGTAGGGGAACGGAAAAGAAGCACATTACATCATGTACCAATTGGTCGCTATCAATTCTCTATGATGAATGTGATCATTATGTAGACCCAAATGTACCAATAAAATGACTGAAAAAAAAAATGCAGCGGATGCGGCTCAGTGTGAAGGTATTAGGTTCAAAGCCCAGTGCCACACACACACACACACACACACACACACACACCACAGAACAAAAGAGAAGTTGGGTGTTAAGAGACAATACCAGGATGGGCTTTCACAGCTGGGCTGTAGGTTACGTCGGTGAATTAACAAGCAAGAAGCAAAAGCGTCCAGGCAGAGCACAGAAGACAAGGTTTACCTGGGGCCAAACTGCACCATGAAACACAGCATCAATTTCTTCTGTTCTGAACGGGTAGGACTCCCAGTCCAGAAAGATATCGGTGACCATTTTGATTCCAAGACGTCGTATATTTTTCAGCGGATTAATAAACCGCAGCTGTATCTGCGTAACAAAGATCTTGTATTAAAAAGAAAATGCACACACGTGCGCGCCTTTTGCACTTGACTCCTGAGAGAGGTGCTCAGCCGAACTGGGGACTCTGCAATTACACCACGGACCCAGGTTCACGCTGGAAGATCAACTGAGCAAGCTGTGTGCTGTTCTCACTGAGCAGGAAAAGCGGAGAAAGATGCTGAGACGTGCTCGCCGCCACCCCTGCTCAGGAAGCCACCCCAGCTGTCCTCAGGAAAGGCTACTCAGTCAGAGCTGCTTCAACGAACAGCACATTCTGAACAAAGCCACCTTTTGCCATCACAGTGCCTTAATGAGGTAAAAAATAAACTTTCAAGTCAAAGTGATTTTTCTCATGTTTTCATACTTGTACTATCATTTTACTTTTCTTAAAACTATGATTTAAAAAAAAATTCTTCTTGTTAATAACATTCCAGGCATCTTGGCATGGCAGTACACATCTAGCCCAATGCAGGAGGATCCTAAGTTCAAGGCTTACATGAATAGTTACACAAGACCCCGCCTCAAAATTTAACACAGGCCTGAGGATACAGCTTAGCACATGAGGCCCCGGGTTCCATACCCAGCACCACAGAAACAAATAGAAAAATAAAAATAGAAAAAGAGGGGAAAGGCTACTATGGTGGTAAGAAAAGGAGAGGAAGAAAGCAAGGAGGCTTGGGAAGATCTCTACGCACAGCTCACAGCAAAAACACAACTTAGTGAAAAGGACTTGTTTTATTGAGAAACAAATAGCAATGAGACAGTTTCAAATCAAATTGGTAGGACAGTTTCAATAATTAACACATCGTATACATTCTTCCTAGTGGTTAATTGCTATACAAGATGCGGACATGATATCCTATTTACAAACACCATCAGAACAAATCCCTCTATTCATTAAGAGAATGTAACTATATATCTATCCTAACCACTTTGAATACA